ATAAATGCAGTGGCCTGAATTCCCTGGGGAAGCTAAAAGAGTTTGTGGAAGAGAAGTTCATTAGAAATGACATCATCAGGAGTGTGACAGGGTTCAAACATTAAAATCTGTTTTCTCCTAACATTTTGGATAACACTTCATGTGGCCAAGCCAAACCTTAATTATTAAGTATCAGCACTTAATGATACACATAGGCCCAGGTCACAATGGCCAGAAAATGCGGGGGGGAGGCGTGGTTGTTTGCCCCGAAGCGAACTACCCCGCGGCAACCATATCACACCTCCCACCGATGTCCTGTGGTTGGGGGGGGAGGTGCTGATCATACCTCACCCCTGCGGCGCGGCAAAGAAGCTGCGCGGCAGGGGTTGCATTTGTTTTCTAGCCAGAGTGCCGGTTTTCCCTATTGCCATGCATGCCCTACGGGGGGGGGACTGCTTTGGGTGGTCGCGCACGTTCTCTGTGGAATGCCATGACATGCGGGGGGGCTCTTTTGCGGGCATTCTTGGTGTGTGTTTCATAAGGGATCGCCTTTGGCAGGCGCACCGGTATTGTGGGAGGAAGCCCTGCCTCCTGGCGACCCCCCACACTCTCCTCCCTCGGGTCTCATGACCGCACACGCACTCTCTTGGAGGCCATCGTTCAGGGGCACGTGGAGTTTTCCTACCGCGGTTACAAGTCTGTACGGTGCACTGGGTGGGTCTTCTCCTTCGTGAGTCCACTGCCGGGGCTTCGTTTGAGGCAGATCCCCGGGGATCTCCCGGTGGTGATGCCTCTTAGCATGGGCAGGACTCCTGGCGATCGCCCCGCTGCCTCTCAGAGACTTGGTGGGGGGGGGTTGTATTCCATGCGGCATCCGACTTTACTTGTCAGCATATGTTTTCTCTTTTACTCATGTGTCAGTAGCAAGGACGCACAAGGATCAGAGCGCTAGGTCTGTGCTTAGGGGGAAAGGCGGGCGCCGGATGCCTCGTGTTACCCACCGGAAACGTGATCAGACGCCCGCCCTTGCCCCGAGGTTTTCAGAAACTAGTACCTTGGAGGTACTAGTTTTTTACGGCACATTTTTGGAGGGAAGCCTCGGGTTCTCCATGGGAGCTCTACGCTTCCCAGATGTTGCGGTATGATCACAGCCAGAAAATCCGCCTATCTTCCATCTTTGTAGCATTGCTAATACTCCGTGTGACCGCAGCCATAGTTTGGAAAGTGTTTAGTTTTCCCACAAGGCATGGCATATTCCTCCTCCTACTCATCATCATCACCACTATTATTATTTGTCACAGTCAGATATTTAACTGGTAGATGGTCTTAGGTAGCCACAGTCTTAGGAATGCCAGATGTATCTTATCAGGATTCTTGCTGTCCCAAGCAACGCTGTCTTCTGGAACTGAGCTAGTGTTATTTCCTCGATGCCCAGAATGTCCAGATGTTTCTTGGGACTTCTATGCTCCAAGGGCTCCAGTGATAACTGGCACAATGGTAACCTTCTTCTCCCAGAGGTACTCTAACTCTGTTCATGGATCTTGATATTTGTGATCTTCTCCTGTTCTTTTCTATTCTTCTGTCTCCTGGGATTGCATTGTCAATTATCCAAACTATTTCTCATTTTCTGCAGTTGTGCTATGAGAGGTGTTATGCGCTAGGTGTTTATCTGTTTGTAATTGGAAGTCCCAAAGAATCTTTGTTTCATAATTCTCCAAGATCCTGTCTGATTTGTGCTCCCATGAATTTCTGGCTGTTGGTAAGCCATACTTCTTGCAAAGATTTCAGTGCAACATAGCTGCAACTCTCTCATGACATCCTTTATAGCCTTAGTTGATGTATGTATGTATGCATGTATGTATGTGGATATTTCGACCCACTTTTTTCCATTCAGTGAAGACCCAACGTAGCTTATGATGTCAAAAACCCAAAACCACATAGAAACTCATCAATTGGACAAAAAAAGTTTGGCACGTCACCAAGCAACAAATCTACCTACTATCTACAGACTAATCCACTGGGTGGAATGGGGGGGGGTAGAGAGCGGATGGTAACGCCTCTACCCTTGATGTCAACAATCTCTCCCTAGGCAGGATATAGAATTAGATCAGGAGCTATATCACATTTCTATTTTGGTTGGTTCCTCTGGAGATTATGTACCATGGTTAAGCAATATAATTTTGTGTTAATAGTTTATATAAATCTACGTTCACTTTTAAAGATAGCTATTTGTTGCTGAGATCTATTTAAGTGTCTTCTTGGTGACATTTTATGTAGTATTCTATTCAGTTTGACTTAAGACTGAAAGGAGGAATGTGAAATATAACAATGGAGAAATAAACTCTTATTTGTGAATTGGTTCTGTAGTAATGTAAAGTGCTCCCTGTTATTTTCTCTCTCATTCTACCTCACAATAGTCCTGTTAAGTAGCTAAGCATTCTAATGCTTAAGACACTAGTAGATTTCAAGAATGGATGGTTTATTACTAAAATTACTTTGAAATCCAAAATTATTTATTTATTTATTTATTTTATTAAGATTTATACCCCGCGCTCCCCGCAAAATTATATTGTGTATAATATAAAGTTTAATCGTGTATGGCTTGCAAATGTCCTATGTTTGCAGATGCTGAGTCTTTGCAGCAAAGACATGAATCATGATTAGTCATAGTTAAAAGAAAGTATGACTTCCTCTGCCAGAAGCAAGTTTCATGTTTGAGACTAATGTTAGGTAGTAATGATTTCTTCTATAATATGTGTTACATGAATCTGGCTCAGATTTTCTAAAAAAAGGTATGTATTTTTTGTTTCAGAATTTCTACAAAGAGATTGAAAGAGAAGAAATGTACATAAGGTTTGTAATATACCCTTTCTTAATGATTACATGGGGGGTAGTAAGTTAATGCACCAATACAATACAATCACCACTTCTGGCTTGGAAGCTTGCTAGGAGAACTTGGGCCTGTCACAAATCCTCTGCCTGTTGTACCTCACAGTTTTGTTGTTGTGAGAGAATGGAGCAAGGGAGGACAGTGTTTGCTATAAATGTGCGGACTCTAATCTGGGAGAACCGGGTTTGATTCCCCACTCCTCCACTTGCAGCTGCTGGATGACCTTGGGCAAGCCATAGTTCTGTCAGAGCTGTTCTCTCAGAGCTCTCTCAGCCTCACCTACCTCACAGGGTGTCTGTTGTGGGGGGGGAGGAGTTTGTAAGCTGCTGTAAGACTCCAAGTGAAGGGCAGGGTATAAATCCAATCTCCTCTTCTCTCTCTCTCTCTCTCCTCTCTAAGCTGTTTTGAGTCCCAAGTGGGGAGAAAAGTGGAATATAAATAAATGCAGAAATGCCTGAAAGGAACACACCTCTTTGGAGACAATAGTGAGATTAATTAAGTGCTTTATTTCATCCGTGTGCTCACTGCACTATTTGATAGTGGGACCAAAGTAAAACCCTTGTTCTGTCAACAGAAATGCTAGGGTCAATATGGCCCCTGGTGTTTTATAAATTACCTTACTCTTTAGAATATATGAATGGATACATATTTCATATACAGTCTGTCTTAGAACAAACAGGTGTCCAGTATGCTGGTTACTAAGAAGCCGGTATATTGTAGTGAATACTTCTCATTACACTAGGACAGAATTAATCAAAAGCACAAAGAACTATTCAGAATGATAATTTAAAAACCTGCTAGCATCACACCATATTATCCTCTAAATAATGCTTAGCAACAATGATTTAATTGAATCTTATTAAGTGCGCTGGGAAAATCCTAACAAAAAGTCAAGTGGATTCAACCAGCTGCCTTTTCTTGTTCATGTCTATGATGTTTCCTAGCACTGTACTGTTGGTTTAGTCTGCAGTTTCTGAAACCTGATAGAGAACTAGAGCAAACTGAGATTATATTATCTCAAGCTACAGGATGAATTGTACCTGTAAAAAGCCTACCTGTAGCTGAAGTATATAAAATATAGGTGGGTAGCCATGTTGGTTTGAAGCAGCAGAACAAAGTTTGAGTCCAGTGGCACCTTTAAGACCAACAAAGACCATAATGTAACATAACTAATGTAATGCAATGAGTAGTAGAACGTAATGTAATTTGGAATGGTAGAATGGAATGTATTTCTCTTGTCCGGGGACAGGGGAGATAACTCTGCACAGCCAGTTGCCCCATTTCAAAGAAGAAGATGCTGTAAGGTCACCTCCATGCTTGAGAGGAGATGGATGAAGAGCAATGGCAGGGTCTCAGTTAATTTCAGCATTCCACAGCATTCCAATTTTGACAGATTTATTTCATTCACTATGTTTCCTCTCGAAATTAAACCCAAACAAATGGTAACCATATAAACTAAGCTTGTTATTCCAGTTTGGTCCTTGAATCTATTAAACATCTTCATTATGCTGTATGCTGATTTACTGCTCACTCTCTACCTGTATGTATGGACTGGTAATTTCCATTTCATTGTATCTGAAGAAGCATGCATGCTCACGAAAGCTTATACCTTGAATAAAACTTTTTTGGTCTTAAAGGTGCCACTGTACTCAAACTTTGTTCTGTAAAAAATACAGAGAGTCTTCCTATGGTGCAAATGTGTGTTCCCATGAATGTTTGCCAGAAGACAATGTTATTAAGCACCTGAACATTGGAGGTGAGCATAAAAGACAGATGGAAAGATGAACCCTGTCTTGGACAAAACAAAGGGCTGAGTGGTCCATATATATCATACTTAATTTCTAGAAAAGTTCTGGGGGCTAACCTTTCTATATAGACAATTGCTTTTGATTTTGAGGACTCTTAATGGTGAGGAACATGCAGTTTGCATCTGCTGCGACATTCATCCCCTATTAGTGCATAGGTTCCAGGGTTAAGCCTTGACATTTAAAACAGATGCTTGAGCAGACACACCTTAAGTGCAGGCATACACATAAATATTTATGTACTGATTCAAGGAGTCAATTCTGTGAGGTAGGCTAGGCTGAGAAGATGACTGACCCACAGTGACCCCATGACCTTCATAGCTGAACTGAGGATTTAAACCCAGTTCTGGACCCACACTCTTATTATTGCACCATGCTGGCTTCTCTGGTTTCTCTAGAGAACAGAATCTCTTTAAAAAAAATGAGAATTGGAGTCTTTTTTCAAGAAAAATAATAACAGCATTGTAACTTGTTGTTGTTGTTGCATGCCCCCCTTAAAAATAATTATAGTTTTACACGCTGAATGTATGACCTTGTAAAACATGCCAGTATATTATTGTTTGTTATATCTGAAACACTGATTGGATAAAATGAAATCCAACCTTTATAAAACACCTGTTCCAAGAGTGTTTTATTGTATAGGCATAAGAATCTAATTATGAGGGTCTTGAACCAAGATTGTTTTGTGACATCATAAGAATGAATTTTATATTTAATTTTTAAAATTATTTTCTCAGAAAAAGGTGGGATACAGAAGGGAAAAGGGGGTGAGAGGAAAATATAAATTGATCAGGTTTGTCAAATATTATGAGTGGATATGTACGAGGAATGAGTTTTATTGTATTACCATAGGTATTTGTACAAGCTTTGTGACCTGCACAAAGAATGTGATAACTACACCGAAGCCGCCTACACATTACTTCTGCATGCAAAACTTCTTAAGGTACAATATATACAATATAATTGGAAAATTTTCTGTGGTAAGCTTTGGGTGGGTTTCTCAATGTAAAACACCCACATGTAAAATACATAGTTATTGAATTATTATGTAAAATGAAAGCTGGGGGTATGGAATCATTGCAGAATTTCAACATAAAATATTTAGTTTTGAAAGAAGCAAAGAAAATTCATTTTAACTAGTAAAATTGCTACCCAGTACTACCTGGGACACATTGAGACGTTGTGTTGGGTAATTGGGCCATCCACTAGCAATAGCACATCCTATTGGGAGTCTGGACTGGTGAAGAAACTTTCCATCATCTACCCATGCTGATAAGACAGAAGACAAGTGCATTGAATTTTGCCTGTAACAAGAAATGCATGGTGATTTGGGAAGTGTCTGACTGAGAGAAATACTTAAGAAATTCCAAAGAAGGAAGAGTTATAAAATTGTTTCTCAAGGATACCCAGGTTATGTAGATTTGACCACTGTGAGTAAGGGAGTCTTGCTGATGGACAAGAACTGAAAAGAATCCATGTTGGGAGATTCTAACTACACTTATCTTCCCATTCCATAAATTAAATATAAATCAGCCTCTTCTCCAATTTACTGCGTAATACAGAGAGCACAATATCTTTTTGTGTTAGTGATAAAATTCATATTGATTTTAGCCAAGCTGCACTAAAGCAGAGGCAGTTTCTGTTTAAGCCTCCTTGTGAATATCTGCCTCTCAGGCAGTGTAAATGAGCCACATTATATAAAGAAATAATTTTCAGCGTACCTGTTTTGTCTTCAGCTTGCACTGCACGTATGTGGTGCCCCTACTGTAACCATAAGATTGTTTTGCACTTTAATATTTAGGATAAATAACAAGAATTGAAATGGACTGAACATTGTAATTTGTTAAAAAGATTCCCCAGAATTGTTTTCCTCCAGCAAATAATTTTTGGATTCGTTAGCAAATGCTTGTGATCTTTGGCTTTTCCTTTAAGCATTTTGCATGTGCCCAACCAGAAAATTGGCTTGCAGTTAGGTATATATGATTTCTCTCCCCACTAAGCCTTTGATGGAATTTTCCCAACCATTTTTTTCATAGCAAATATGAATTTTTACCATGTTGCCTTGTGAACAATGCAATACGCATGCAGGTCTTAGAACAGCCCATCTGGAGACATCTAATTTTTGAGGAATTCCTAGCACCTGGGATCATTGTGGATGTCTACAGCAAAATAATTTAAAATATCACCTTTGGGTGAAGAAAATAGTGTTATAACATCTTATTTATGTAATAACCAGTAAACTCAAAACTGGTAAATATTGGTGTCAGTAACAACAAGTTCTCTGATTCAAGTTACTGGTCAACTGTATGAGTATACATGTATACATCATCAGAGAGAATGTGTATTTTTTGCTGAATAAGTTGTGACTAGGGGTGTGTGTTCGGCATAACCAAACTGAAAAAAAAACCCTCAAAAAATATTACCAGTATAGCTGAGCCCAAAAAATGCTTTTTTTCCCCTGGCTTTTATTTAGGTGTGTTCAGCTATAATGAGAGCCAGCCCTAGCCGAGGCCACACGGAGCTCTCAGCTCCATGCCATCCCAGCTGATCCTTGTCACAGCTTGCAAAAGGCATTTAAAGGGATTTGGAAAGTGAACTCTATGGCATTATACCTGGTGGAGGTCCTTCCTCAAACACAGCCCTTCACAGGCTCCACCCCCGTGTTCTCTTAAAATGCCTTTTGCAAGCCACTCTGCATGAATGAACTCCACTTGGGACTCCATTCATGCAGTGCTGACAGTGAGTTCCAGGAGATTGGAGTCTCAAACAGCAAGTTTTGGGTGGACTTGCCTCTTGGGACTCCATTCATGCAGTATTTAAATGCCTTTTGCAAGCCGCACAACACGGGTGAACTCCCAAGTGGTAAGTTCACCCAGAAGGTGTTTAAACACCTTCTCCAAGTGGTCAGTTCCTGAAAATTTCAGGAGCTCCGAATATTTCCCAAATCCCAATACCATACTGATATTGGGATTCGGGAATATCAGGAAATACCAGTGGTTTTTTTGGGTTCAATATACCTGAGCCCAAAAACTACCAGGTTGTGTTTTTTTGCACACCCCTAGTTGTGACTTAAGATCCATAGAGAAAGCTGCATAAACTTTAAGGCCATATCCCATTGCTTTGGCAAAACAGGATGATATAGCACCTTATTTTATTCATTCATGAGATTCTGCATCTCATATTTATTAATTGGAATCAAATATTTATAAACAAATATTGTAGATTTTGTTTTCTACACTGCAATTTTAAATATTGCTATATAACAGAGGTTGACAAATCATATTTAGACCTCAGCTGAGAAAATGACAAAATCTCATCATCATCTCTATCACTGGTCCAGAGTAAAAATCCCCTATCTCTCCAAGTCTTCCATAAAATATGTCTACCCAATTGTTAGGTCTGGTTTGGCCCATAATGTTAATTCAGAATGTGAAAATGGATCAAATTAATATTGTCATTGACATTGTTCTCTAGCTGCAGAAATTGCAGGAGGAACAGCATTAACTCTAGCATAAGTAGATCCTAATGCATTCCACTTAGAGAGGGGCACTGACAAGAAGCCTCCAGAAGAGCCCAAGGTGGATAGTCTGAGAGGAGCGATCACAATAATTAGTACAAGTTAACAAATACATCTGATGCTATAAACCAAATCATTATATCTGATGATATAAACCAAATCATGGAAACCAAATCTTGAATTCTAATACTATATACTACTACATGTACCTCCTGGTACAAGATAGTGGGAAAAGCTCCATTTTCAAATACAAGAAGACTAGTCATAAAATATGTCTGTGTTTCACTGTTCAGAAATCAGAATCCCTTGAAAGGCAGAAAAACAAAATACAGAAAACGCAGCAATCCTTCTTAGCAAAGCTGGGGATGAAAATGGATGATGTTGCACAGTAGTTGGAAGGCCTGCTGATGTATATCCTTGAACAAAGTTCAGTGTCTCTCTTTGTTTCGAACAGCTGGATGACATATATTTGACCACTTTCATCCTTCTGTTCCAGAAATATAATTTGGACAGCTTTCATTTTGATTTTTCAAAGTCTTAAAACTAGCTAGTCATGCTTAACAGTGTAGAAACAACCTTTGACAGTGTGTGAATGTGCTAGAGA